ACTGTAGGTCTTGCAGGGCTACAGAAAATGATCCTGAAGTTTGTACTCCTTCATTAGACAAGTAGGGATTAGAATATGAATTTGTCAAATGAAAGCCCAACTCAGGGTATTTTGATAATTCTAGCTGCAGAACCAAACTTGGTTAATTTAGGATCATAGAATCAGTTCCTTTCATGGTCTCATGCTGTATTCCTGGATAATTGTGATTGTTTCACAGTCTTTATTGCTAAGACCAAAGGGAGATTTGGGAATTGTTTCGGCAAAGGGCAGTAATTTTTTTTTTCCTGAGCACCAAGCACAAAAACGGACAGCTACAGCTTTCCTCTGCAGCTGGAAGTTGAACACGACAAGGGGGAACCTCTCTGCAATGTCTTGTATGATGAAGCTTAGTCAGATGCAAATAAATGATCTCTGTTCCCTCCCAATTCAATGTTGGAGATGTCACTATCACCAGAGAACAACCACAGATACATGCACATATCCGGAACATGCTCTTCCCTTTTGGGAGAAGCAACATTATGAAATAAATAAGCAGTAAGCAAAATAAATTAAAGATAGGAAAGAAAAGAAAAGAAAAGGGAATCAAACTAGGTCTGGTTTACAGCAACACCATTCTGAATGTTTATTTTGACAAAGCTAGTGGGTAGAACAGTGCACTGATGAGCTTTTCCAATTTAATCTTTGTATTATGGCAAGATATTACATGAAGGTTTATATTATAGCAAAACTTCCCATTGAAAGCTGAATTTATTCGAGCTGTTATATCAAGAAACACAGGTATGGTGATCTCACTGTAGAAAATTATTTCTGTTCAGATTTTTATGTGCCCTTTTCAACATGCTTTTTTTCCTGTTAATTATTTGATCAGAGTTGATTGCATCTGCTCTGATTATGTCATTTTTTTCCCCACTGGATCTTGCCTTTGATTGCCTTTGAATATGCGCAAATGTTTCTTTTGGATTTCTGAACTATATCTCACCTAATTCTTTCTGTAGTAATGCAAATAAGTATTTGCAAACTGAGGACAATGTTGCATATGTCTGTTAAAAGTGAGTTTTGGCTGTAAAAACTGATGCAACAATTAAATCATCAAGCATTAAGCTGCTAGTAACTATTTATTGAATTGTCTGGGTTGATTTCAACCGGCTTGCTATATTTTGCTTTTTGCAGGAGCATATCTGCATTCCCTACTGTAGCTGCATACAATAACAGAGCTCAGGCAGAAATAAAACTCCAGAACTGGCAGAATGCTCTTCAAGACTGTGAGACTGTATTAAAAATGGAACCTGAAAATATAAAAGGTAGAATTAAACATATTTCTCAAAAGATTAAGCGCTGAAACAAATGACTTATAATTATTGAAATAAGACTAGTATAAGTGGCAGTAGGTCTAAGAAATTTTAAACAAAGTATAAATTATGGTCTTTTTTAGTGACTTCTCCTTTTAAGGCTTCACTAATATACTAAAAGGAAAAGATTATTTGGAGTGGGTAAGGGCAATCGCATTGTGTCCATTGGCGATTCTTTTAAAAAGCTGCATTTTTACTTAGCTGTGTGAACAGTTGCTACATGCACGTCCTCAAATGATCCGAATTACTTTTTGCATTTGAACCCAGATCACTGCACAATCCTATAATCAAATAATGTCAATTTAATACCAATAATTTATTATACAGAAAGTTCAGATGTATTGTAGAGTATGAAACTTATACCCTTATTATTTAGAATTAACTAGAAATTGTTTATTTATTTAATAGCTGCGGTTTATACACTGTTCCAAGTGAAAATTAAGTATTCACGAGGATGTGGTTTAGTCTTCACATGTTTCTTTGGTGAGAAAAAACAGTGACAGCATAAAAAATCTTGAGTATTTCCCTATCGTTACCCTATATTCACTTCAAAAGTTTACTCTCCTTCATTTTATGCCTGATCTGAAACAAGCCTAACTAGGGAATGAAAAAAAGAAATACTCATTTGATATACCAAAAATTCCTTTTGGTTATCAATAGGGTGGATTTTTTTAGTTGTCCACAGTAATGAAAGAAAAAGAAAGATTAAGGGCAGATTGGAATATGAGTTTCTTTAGCTTTATGCCAGTGCTTTAATTGTGAGATTGCAACTTAGTATTTATATGTCATTTGTTTAAATGTGTTATTGCAAAAACAAACAAACAAACAATCATTTGGCATCCACATTAGTGGACAAATCTTGATGAGATATATATAGTCATGATATACTTATCTCCAAATCTCATTTTTTTCCTTTCTTCCCTTTCTTCCACCCACTCTCCTCAACACAAGAGAACTGCAATCATTTTAATAAAATCTGTATAGTCTACAGATTGCCTATATGTCAAATGAGATTTTTTTTTAAAGCCATTGATCTATATTACCTGAATATTTTGCTATTGAGACTGATTATATATAATGAATACTTAATTATTTTATATTTACAGTATATATGCAGCACTAAAAACTTGTCACTTAGAAGAAAGTGATAACTGTATTTATCTGTTAATTAATCTGTAGCTCTTATACGTCGTTCCACTGTTTATAGAAATCTACAGAATTTTAAAGCAGCTGCTGAAGGTTTGAGGAAAGTATTACATATTGATCCAAAAAATGCCATAGCTGAAGTAAGTATTAATACTTATTTTGAGATTGTTGTTGTTTAGTCGTTAAGTCGTGTCCGACTCTTCGTGACCCCATGAACCATATTGCGCCAGGCCTTCCTGTCCTTCACTGCCTCCCTGAGTTTGCTCAGTTTCATGCTCATTGCTTCAGTGATG